TTATCTACAGGGGTAGGGGGGGGGGGGGGGGGAAAAGTCACTTCGGCCGAGTCACATATCAGCAAAGTTTTCGCAGCCCAGACAGAGGACGTGGATACGAGTACCAGGGCGGAAGATACCCAAGATGTTCCTCGATAAGCAGGAGCAGGCTCTCGCCCATCACCTTCATGTACACCAAAATATGAAGTCATCTCCAGTCGCAGCCTGACTGGAGAAGGCCTTTGGAATTCACGTCACCTCCAAACAGCTGCGAAACTTCTTGAATGGAGTCACCCATGGATAGCTACCTGGAGACCAGTACTCTTGATCTGCAAGACCTCCAACATCGAGCAGCTCCGACAACGTCGCTACGGTCCAGGATATCATCTTCACCGCAGTCGCCAAGGCGCGAGTTGGTGGTATGGACCGGAAGTTCCTGGAATGTGAAGACCGATATTTTCTTCGTGGACCCCGGACTGAAGGTGAGCGCTGACGGTTACATCGACCAACTCGTGAAGAATATCCTGCCTTCATGTCATACCTTCTTGGAAACTTCGTACTGCTACAGGATTGGGTGCCTCCACACGGAATCGAAGGGCGTTGGAAAAACTTTCGCCTACTTGGAATGGAAGAAGTTGAGTACCTGAAGAAGACGGAATATCTAAGTGTCAATTACCCCGGTTCGAGCGGAGCTCAACAGGGTGGTCTACAGTGGCGGAGAAATCAACGATCTCGCTGAACTCAGGTACCGAATCACGGTCGCGTGGCAGAATCTCTCGATGGCGCTCGTCCAGAAGGCTGTGGCGGAGCATCATGATAGTATACAATATGCTGTTGAATATGGTGGTGGAAATGTCCCATCAGAATTTAATTAAGTGTAACTTATAGCGCCCTGAAAGTCAAGGAAGAAAAGTGACTTTTTTCCTCCCTCCCTGTATATTCTACCCAGGTAATTCAGCTGGATAATTTGAATACACAAAAACGATAGCAGATACTGCATAAAGGGGTTGAACTATGGAGCTGTGGGTGCTATTTGATTTTTAGGTAGAGAGGAAAGCAGAAATTCTGCTGGAAAAGTCTTGAAGGCCTGGTCTTTTTCAGCAATACACAAGCGTGCGGCACAGTGACGCGGACACTGGACTGGTTATCTAGATCATATGGGAGGATCACACTGAAGTTGGGTGCTCCTTACACTCTCGAGGCCCATGCGGAAGAGGGATCGCAATGTCTACAGTGAGGATGGGTTGGGCTCACGTCTGCCCGTTTGTTTTTCTTTCGGCAAGACTGTAAAATATCGTTGGTATGAGCGCTTTTCTACCAATCCCTTACCCGCATTTCTACCCGCTTCAACACCTAGTGGAGAACGGACTGGCACCATGCCGAACCCAGCCTCACCGTCACGATCTGCAGCCAGCCATGCTGTAACATAGGCACGGGTGAGGAAGAGAGGTTTTTACTCACATGGTAGCAGCTGTATATGTCGTCCCCCATCTCTTGTCTCAGTAGTGCAGGGACGAAAACTTATAAGAAAGCTGGGAATAAACTGCAAAAATATCTGGGCTCTTCAGAAAACTTGAACTCACTCATAGTTTTCTGAGTAGATCGCTACGGAGTCCCCATCGATCTTTGAGCTGGCACTACCAGAGATAGAAGGATGTAGACTTGAATGCTCTTGTATCGAACTCTCTTCGATTTCCTGCGTCGGGTGAGAGACACGGTTTGAATGACGACTGAATTTAACTTTCTTGCCTGGGACTTTCACAATTCCATCAAATATTCCTTGTGACGGCTTCGATGGTTCAGCGGATGTCGATGAGCTCGTGGTGACTGTTGCTGTAGTGGTTCTCTCTTCGACTTTCTCCTGGGTAGTACTTGGCTCAGTAGTCGAGCTTGCTTGCAATCTATCCTCTCCTATAATAGACGAAGTGATGCTGATAACATCATACTGCTCATCCACGCCTTCTGCTCTTTCCTCTTGCTCGTCGTCTTCCTCGAAGTCCTCTCCTCTCTGTTCTTCTTTCTCATCGTTCTCTTCTGGTAACGGTGTTGTGGAGACAGCAGGAACTTCCGACATTGTGTTCTTGTCAGCAGTGTTCGGGTACTTTCTACTTCTTCAGCCTCGGCCCACTCGCCTGATCCTTCTTCTATCTCTTCCCCGCCATCACTCTCTTTAGAAACCTCGTTGACATCTTTGATTGTGTCCACGTTACTGAGCTGAGCGTCTCGGTGCTTGGTTTCCAGGGAATGCACTTTCGAATGTCGTTTGTGTTGGGATGTGATGATTGCCCTCTGATGATCTGCTTGCAGTCGCAGTTCTGTAAAAAATAATTGTTAAAGAACGAAAACATAAATTAATAAATAAGTAGTCTAGGGAAAATGTTTCTAATTTTTTTCACATTCCAAAGATAACGACACGTACGTCTAGTTTCGAGGGGCAATTACAAGTCTCGTTTCTGACCTGAGGCTGGGGCGTGTCAGTGGATATGGGTTTGGCGGGCGCCAGCTAGTTTTCCGCTATTTGATGTTGCTTGAACAAGCGCTGGGAAACAGGCGACTGGCACTGCGTCAAGCCTTCCTCCTGAAACGCCTCAGCGGCCCCAGCGAACAATACTGCACTTCCGTCAACAAAAGAGTCCTTACTCTGAAAGAGCTAAATTCAATGAGACATACCGGCGAAACTCCAGGGATTCCAGGCAAACCGATCGATCCAGCTTTTCCTTTCGCTCCCTTCTCGCCAGGCTCACCTGGGCCTCCAGTTATGCCAGGTGGTCCAATCTCGCCTTCCTAAAAGGTGTATTTCGAGCTACGTTGGTGAATAGCTGGAGACCATTCCATGCTTACCTCGCCGTCGTCACCGTCATCACCGGGTTCTCCGCGGGGTCCACGTGGACCTGTTTTGCCTTTAGTTCCTTGTTTACCTACTTTTTCCACGCCATTCATGCCACTTTGGCCAACTGGGCCAGGTTTTCCTTCCTTGCCCTAAACAGATCTGAATTTTTGGCACATAATGGTTGCATTTCGTTTTCGATGTCTCCATTTTGTCTCTAAATAGGCTGGCAAGGTTCAGAAAAATCCATGAAGTTCTTAGCATACTGGTCTGCAACAATTCTAGAATTTTCTTTCAAAGAAAGAAAAGAATGTACCGGTTTTCCAGGTAGGACCCATATCTCCTGGAGATCCAGGCACACCGTTTCGACCAGGTAAACCATATGCTCCTGGTGGTCCGCGGGGACCGGGAGCCCCTAGAAATTTTTAGTTGTCACGAGATTCAAGCAATGAATGACGGTCCCACTCAATACCTATCTGTCCCTCTTCTCCAGGTGGTCCATCTGGTCCTGCAGGGCAAATCAAACAACCTGTGAAGGTATGTTGTTTCACCACGTCCTCTGCATCAATTCCTGAAATTTACAGATCGTAAGTCACGAAAACTATTAGGTTGAAAAGTTTCCCGCCATTGAATTGGTGAGGAATCGAACGGCCAAGCTTTGCG